ATAGCACTTTGCAAAATTTTAAGAACTGACTTTTTTTAACACAGAATGTTGTGCAACATTTTTCCTCATGCTTTTTGTTTTGCCATTCAGACATTATTTAATTGGTAGTAATAAATATTGATCAGATTTAATATGGACATTTTCTAATATGATTCAAATATTAAGTAGAGAATCCAGGCACTTAAACAAATCCTTTTAAGGTGCAGATTGTTTAATGAGTGACCAGACCGTGTTTTAATTTTCTTACCAGTAAGGACCAGGGCTGTATTTACATTTCTGCTGTGATTGTGTTTAGCTATATTTTTCTTTTACTCATTTACTGTACCCACACATATTATATACAGTTTTTCTCACCATTAAATGGTCTTTCTAAAGATCATCATATCATATAATTTACTATAAAAATTTTTATAAAATAAGATGACTTAAAAAAAAACACTTTTTCTAACCCAAAATCTGTTACGCATCTACAACCACCAAAAAACACCCATGCTAACTAGTTTCTAAATTTTGTCCTGAGTTTAGAAATACCCAATGTTAACATGTTTTTAGCTTTTTTTTGGAAAGTTATAGTACAATAAGTACAAGTAGCACGTTGCGATTTTCAAACCATTTCCCCCCCCAAAATTAACGAAAGTTACATTGTAACACTGATATCTGTAAAGAACCCCAGAATAACCCTTCATATGTATATAATTTTTAAAAGAAGACAACCTAATGTATTAAACTTGGGGTATTTTGACTCTTTTCATGCAACGCTTTCACCACCAATAATTCCAAATTAAAAAAAAAAAAAAAAAACAACATGCACAAATAGCTTTTTGACACAAATAGCAATTTAAAAATATATGTACTGAGAACTTTAAGGGTTACTGCCAAAAAACACCCCAATATGTGTTCAGCAACATCTATTGAGTACAATGATACTACCCATGTATAGGTGTATCGGGTTCTCTGGGGGCTAAAAGACCTTATTTGGAGGGTGCGCATTCCAGTTTTCCAACTTTTTCACAGATGGTCATCATGCACCATGTCCTATTTAGGACATTTTTGAAGCCGGCCAATGTAATTTTTCCCCATCAAACCATATATTTTTGAAATGATGGTATTTTAACACTTTCCATGCACTAATTCTACCACCCGTCTTTGTCAAACTTTAGGGTAGTCATATTTTTGTGTTATTTTTCTTTCACATGGTACTTTGGGCATGGATTCTCAGTTCCTGCTATGTGTTACTGACAAAGAACACCCCAATATATGTTCAGCAACATCTGAGTACAACAGTGCCCCCAATGTACAGGTTTTATGGGCTTTTGCAAACTTACAGGGGTCAAATGTAGGGCTTTCACCTTTTCCATGTTTGCACATTGATATTTGCCAGATTGATTTGCTGGGCCTATGTTGCCTTTGAGAATGTATGGCAGCCCAGGAATGAAAATTACCTCAATCATGGCATACCATTTGTAAAAGTAGACAAACCACGGTATTTAAAATGTGGAATGTCCCGTCTTTTTTAGTAGCCACATAGTCACAAACCCAGGCCAAAACAAAAGTTTATATTTGCTTTTTTGCGTGTTTCACACAAACTGCCATTTCACCGATGATATCGTATATAATATGGTATAATACATTTTACTGCTCTAAAACACTCATATTTGTGTAGACTAATGTCTCACGTGTACAACAGTAGCCCTCAAGTACAGGTTTTATGGTGATTTGGAAAGTTACAGGGACAAACATAAGATTTGCCAATTTCTGTTTTTGTAAATTGCTATTTGCCAGATTGGCTATGTTGACTTTGAGACGGTATGGCAGCCCAGAAATGAAAATTAACCCCACCATAACATACAATTTGAAAAGGTAGACAACCCAGGGTATTCAAAATGGGGTATGTCCAGTCTTTTGTAGTAGCCACTTAGCCACAAATGCTTGCCAATGTTAGCTTTCATATTTGTTTTTTGCATTTTTAAAAAAAAATTTTTTTTTTACACAAAAACTGCATTTTTACTGGTGATTTCATCGTTGTGATACGTTTTACTGTTTTAAACACTCATATTTGTGGTCAGCGAAGTCTCCCGAGTATAACAATACTACCCAAGGTTTTATGGTGTTTTGTAAAGTTTCAGGGTTAAGTATAGGGCTTGCCAATTAAATTCTCTAGACTGTCTGCCCAGTGGCGGATCCAGAGCCTGATCTCGGGAGGGGCACTTGTAGATTATTTAAAGAAATAATCCAGACACAATAACCACTACAGCTCAGTGTAGTGGTTATGGTGTCAATGGTGCCGGGACCCCCTCCCACAGTAAGTAGTCAAACCGTTTAAGAACAGTTTGACAACTTACCTGAGATCTGCTAGGAAATGGGGCTGTAGTAAGGTATAGGAGCAGTGGTGTGTGTGAGTGGTGCAATGTGTAAGGGGTGCAGTGTGTGTGTGTAACAGTTGCAGTGTGTGTGAGTATTGCAGTGTGTGTGTATGGGGGGCAGTATGTGTGTATGGGGGGGCAGTTTGTGTGTATGGCGGGCAGTTTGTGTGTATGGCGGGCAGTGTGTGTGTATGGCGGGCAGTGTGTGTGTATGGCGGGCAGTGTGTGTGTATGGCGGGCAGTGTGTGTGTATGGCGGGCAGTGTGTGTGGATAGGGGGCAGTGTGTGTATGGGAGGGCAGTGTTTGTGTATGGGGGCAGTGTGTGTGTGTATGGGGGGGAGTATGTGTGTATGGGGGGCAGTATGTGTGTGTGTATGGGGGCAGTATGTGTGTGTATGGGGGCAGTTTGTGTGTGTATGGGGGGGCAGTTTGTGTATGGGGGCAGTTTGTGTGTATGGGGGCAGTTTGTGTGAATGGGGGTGTGTGTGTTTGTGTGTGTGTGTGTATGGGGGCGGTTGTGTGTATGGGGCAGTTTGTGTATGGGGGCAGAATGGGGGGGTGAATGGGGCAGTTTGTGTGAATGGGGGCTCTTTGTGTGTATGTGTGTGTGAATGGGGGCAGTTTGTGTGAATGGGGCTGTTTGTGTGTATGGGGGCAGTGTGTGTGAATGGGGGGGCAGTGTGTGTGTGAATGGGGGGGCAGTTTGTGTGAATGGGGGGGCAGTTTGTGTGTATTGGGGGTAATGTATGTGTGTGTGGCTTTTTTTTATTATATAATATTTTTTAATTTAATTAAAATAAACAAATATTCTATGTCCCCCCTCCCTTCTTACCTTTATTGAGGAGGAGGGGGGACATATTTCGTTCCCTGGTGGTCCAGTGGGGGATTCACTGGTGGTCCCAGTGGTTACAGTGAACTCTAGCCCGCGCTCCCGGGCTAGAGTTCACTCTCGCGAGATTTGGAGCGTTGCCGTGGTAACCGCGGCAACGCTCCAAATCTCGCGAGAGGAGGACCCGGAGGAGCTGCAGACTGAGCTCCCGGGTCCTCCCTCTCCCTCCCCTGCCGGCTGTCAGCACAGTGCCTGTGGACCGGGGAGAGAGATCTCTTAGCTCCCCTCCGGTCCGCAGGCACATTGCAGGGCTAGCACCTGCATGTGCTGCTGGCAGGGGAGGGAGAGGGAGACCGGCGGATTTCTCGGGGGGGGGGCAATTGCCCCGTTGCCCCCCCCCCCTGGATCCGCCACTGTGTCTGCCTGGGTTGTCATGCAGGTCTCTCAAATTATAATTAATAAAATCAAATATATATATAAAAATAAATAAAATGTATTTTTTTTAAAATTTATTTATATATATATATATATATATACACACACACACACACACTTTTATTTCCTATATATGTACAATATATTATAAAAGAAATAAAGCATTTTATGATATATTATGCATATATATGATTTCATTACAAGTGTATTTTGAGATATATGTGTAAATATCTCAAAGTACAATTATAATGAAATCATATATATGCATTATATATGGATAATATACTATAAAATGCTTTCATTATTTTACTTTAAGCAACCTGGGGGACTGCCTGGCAGCTCAGACAGTCCCCCAGCTGGCCGCTCCATAGATTCCTATTGCGACCACGTGATCATGGTGATCACATGGCCCTGGAGGGCCGTGGTGGCCAGAGCTGCTGCAGGGGGGCTGCTGGGGTCTCTACAGGTTCCCCCTGTATTACTTTGTTATTTAGTCACCCATCATGGTTATATATTCTTTTTAGCTTACTGAATATAGTGTATAACACCCTCACTAGACATATCCGCTTAGCCTGAAGTTACTTTATTTAAAAAAAAATTTTTTTTAATTGTGCAGTTTTATTGAAGCCATGCAAATGCCATCTCATGTTTTACTTTGTACTTTCAACAGCTGTTGTGGCTGGGCAAGTATTTTTTATGTATTACAATGCCTAACTAAAATAAAGAATTATAAAATATAAAAAAAAAGTTAAAAAAAGCAAAACATTTTTAAATTTTTTTTTTTTTTTTAAAAGGACGTTTCAGCCTTCATTGGCTTTTATCAAGTCATCACGCTGTAATTTTTGTCAGATATAAACATATACTGGCGGACATAGATACATTGTTTGGGAGAGATGTAGGTAGAGTAACAGATCTTGATATTGTTTGGGATGTTAGAACACAATTAGACTATCCCAATGAAGACAGTGCACAGTAATGGTTGCTTATCAAGTCTCCAGGAACTCATATTATTCTTAAAGGTAGCACTATAGTCAACATATAAAAGCAAGAAAGACAGGTCCCCTAGCCTTCTTTCTTGCGTTTATATTAACTTGACCTTAATAAAAAATAGTTTTGAGTCCTTATTATAGCTCAAACTTACCTCTGTTCCAGCGCTGAGCTCCTCGGCAGGCCGTACCCCCTTTTCTGTCAAAATGATGAAGTAGCAGGACTAAATCAGACGCTTCTCTTAGAGAAGCATCATAGCAATCTGGTGTGCACACATGCATTGAATGCCGCCCTAGGAATGAACACAGCAGTCTACCGCGCATGTGCGCGGAATGCACATTCAATAGCTCAGCTCTATGCCCGCCCCCCTCCTACCGCAACCCTCCAGCCTAATGTATATAGTATACAAACACTATATATAGAGGTGTCTCTATATATAGTGTTTGTACACACACACACACACACACACACACTAAAAATAAATATTGTTAAACATACACACACACACATACTCTATCCATCTAATTCTATCCATCTATTTTTTACACACACTCCCACCCACACTCACTTTCTCACCCTCACTCACACTCACAAAATAAGTTTACTTACGGTTTGGATCCTCCTGCTCGGTCTCCGGACTCCTGCCTTTCAGCCTGTCAGCCAGAGCCACTCTGTGTGCAGGAGATCTTATCTACCCACACTGTCACCTCTGATTGCTAACAGCCTCTGGGGTTACTACAGGAATCAGGATGTGCATTCAAAGTGCCTACTGTGTCCTGATAGCCCGTTTAATGTCTTCAATCAAGCGTGAAGACGTCAAACGTGATGAATGCGAATGAGGCAGCACTGAACTCGGAAATCCCTCTGGTGGTGATCTGAGTGACTGCCACTGGAGGTGTTCCTAGCTTCCAAGGTAAACATTGTATTTTCTATGAACATACAGGGTTTACATAAGAAAGCCTACAGGGAGCTATTGTTCTCACCTGAACAACCCCATTAAGCTGAAGTTGTTCAGGTTACTATAGTGTCCTTTTACATTTTTGAAAAGTGTATTTCATTTGTATTTATTTTGTATTTCTGTAGTAAAATGGAGCCTTTTCATCTTTTGTAACCCTCTCCATATGTATTTTGGTTACCCCCACAACTCCTTGTTACAACCAGGTTACATACACTTTGAAAAAACCTTTTTGAGAAGGTGAAATGCGCTGGTGTTTTTATGATATACTTTACTATATTTTAATGTTTGGGTTTCTTTTTAAACAGTTTAAAGTCCTGCAGATGGGTGCAATTCTTATTAAAAAAGTTTTGTCTTTTGCACCTGGCAGTCCACATAGTGAAAGCATAAAGAGAAGAGAAAAACCTAAACAATAATTCTATATTTTGTTCTCATTGGCAATGATGCCCTGACTATGCCTTGTCTGAACTGGATTATGATGTCATTACCTAAAACTTTAATATAAATTTGAAAGAAAAAATAGCATTTTGTGAAAAAAGTTATCCCAAGTAATGGGTTATTTTCTAATTTTCTTTATTCAATGTTATAAACTCCAAAGATGCATAAGAGTGTGAATGCACAGCCTAATGCGTCCTCTGCACAAGCAACAGGGTGATCAGAAGACCTCCCTTACCATTGCCTGTACTCTCTCGCTCTGTTTTGAGGGAGCTTTCATTTGAGCCGCCACTTCCAGAGGTTTATTTAAAAAAAAATTATCATCTTGTCCACCCTGGAAGAGTGGTGGTGAGAAGTGAGAAGGGATGGCATCAAGTCGCTACTCGCTGTAACAGTAATGATGCAATTGAAAGCTAAATGCTGACGGGATTTGTAATGACATCATGAACATAGAGGGCAGGATGGGGGAGGCATCCCCATCAACACATTGAGAAATCCAGACAGAATCTGGTAACTGACAGCTTAATGAGAGTGTAGTGTAGATGTCAGTGAGTATGTGTCAATAAGTTTGCATGGGTCACTCTGTGAGTGTTAGTAAGTGTGTAGGGGGTCGCTGTGTGTGCATGTGAGTGTGTATTGAATACAGAAGAACAGTGCACACACAAAAATACAGTTTTCAATTTTATAAGGCTACTTAAAAATCACTTCTCTCAGCAAATAAATATGGGGATTCAGTTACACCATATGGCCACATAGTACTAATCCCACCACTATGCCACAGCACCCCAATATCTGTAAGTCCTCACTAATTGAAATGTGAGAAACAAATTACATCGGGTTAGTGCTAAAAGAAGTAAACAGCATTTAATTAATTTGTTGTAAGAGCATTGCCTTACACTACTAGTACGTCCTAGGGATGTTACTATTACCCAATTTAATGGTACTCATTTTATCTACCTCAGAAGGATAAAGGGCCGAGTCAAGGGTGAAACAGATTCTACTGATGATGCCTAAGCCCACTGAGCTATCTCAAATAAATTGTTATGTATTGTAAATAATAATATATGTGTCACATTGCCACAACTTTGCCCATACCATATAACCCTCACAGACACAATCAATGCACACAGCCATGCATTTCATACAAAGTACGATGTCTTCATATGAAGACAAACATAAATGCTGCCTTTTTAATTCCCAGATTTATTGCATTATTTACCATAGAAAGGCCTTTTTGATATCCATCAGTTTGTACATGTTTTTGTAGTTTCTATTTTATGTTGCCTGTTTAAAAGGCAATGCATTCCTATCCCCCTCCTGCTCAGTACACTTTTTCAAAGATTGTTGTTCTGCTTTATTTTTCTTTCAGGACAAAAGAAAAAAACATGTATAGTAGTGGAACTCACTGTAGGAAACGGGAAAACCAAGAGCTTCAAAAAGATGTGTATATTTGTCCAGACTCCAGACACTTTAAAACATATATGCATATCTTTGAAATTAATTATTTGACTTTTGCTAGACTGTCCACTTAAATAAGAGGAACCAAAATCAATGAAGAACCAAAAAGAAGGGTTTTTTTTCTTTTTATAGACCCTTTATATGTCTTTGATGTACCAAAGGTTCTTTATAACCCATTATTATTACACAATGTGGAGGCAAAATATAACCCATTAACTTACCATAGTTTCATTAAAAACAGGGCATAATATTAAAATAAAATATTAAAACACCACCACAGACAAATGTATAGCAAAGCTCTTGCAATCACAATTTAATTAGGCCAAATTACATGTTTTCTGCACTACCTATTACAGGGATTCTCTCATCCCAAGAATAGTATTTTTAAGACATGCTTATGTACACTAAAGCAATCAATTGAACAATATATGCACTAATTCTAGGCTTGTCACCTTCCAAGAATTGAATGCGAACTTACGATTGTCAGGGATATATGTACAACTTGTTTGACTGTTATAAAGAACCCTATGTCTATGTGCCATGTTCGTAAACAGATGTACTAAAACACTGAAAACGCTGGAAAATGCAAAAAAAACAAAAACCTACACAAAATAAAGATTGTCAAATAAATAAATAAATAAATAAATAAAAGAATAGTGGGTTTTTTTTGGAGCAAAGTATCCTATTCCCCAAGCACAGGTCTGTTATTCCACATGTCCCCAACACAAAATGTTCGACCAGCCTTTAATTGCTCAACCAATAATTGAAAGAGAAAATAAAAAAAGGTTTACATCTTGCCTCTGGCCTAACACACTTCTAAGCCTGTGATGGGTTTTGCATTGAGTTCCCACTTAAACAGTGGGACATACATGATTGGCTAATACAGCCCTGGTCTATACAGAAGCTAAAGATTAGGCTTTATTTATTGTTTATTTACAGTCTGGATTGACAGGTTAATAAAATAATAAATAGAAATAAATCTCAACGCACCTGTTGCTGTGTTAATCCTTCTGGCATTGGAGTCATAATTGCTTCTGTGTGCATGCAGTCCACATCTATAAACAAATTCAGTTCTTCATCCTCCAGACAGGCTGATTTCCGATCTAAACAGACCATTAAAAAATATTAGATGAAACATTAAAGCATAATACACAAAAGTACTGAACTATATGAATGTACATAAAAAGCACAAAATAAAATCAAATATCATACTTCTATATTGGTGTTAAACACAGTCGAATATATAAAAAAAAAAAACTCAGAACAAAAAAAAATTAATTAATTAAAAATGAACTATATTTACTATAATGAAAAACATCCTGATGAAAGCCCATGTATTGGGGCTGAAACGTCGATATTTTTTTATATGATATAGAATAAAAGTTATATTTTATTTTTACAAACAACAAGTCCTTGGAGTTTTAAAATTTAGTTATTTAAACCTATGCACAAATGTATGGATGTGAACATGCATAAAAAAGTAACCCCTGACCTCCCAAACTCTATGTATCAAAAAAACTGCTGACTATCCTCAAACATATGTACGCACAGGATTGGCCAAGTTTACCAGTACAAAATGATTTTATTTAGAATTACAATAACCTCTTCCAGTGATCCATTGCAGCTCTGAAGCCGATGTAAGTCATGTGCTCTGCTCTGTCTTTGTGAGACAAGTACAGATAGAATGGGGTGATATCAATACCTCTGCACCCCTGGAGACTGGTACACAGACAGGAGGTCTACTATACCAGCATCTAAAAAGCGGGATTTACAGCACATTGAAGGAAGGATTGGGGCAGGGAGAAATAAGGCTATGTTACAGGATACAGAACCTCAGCATTGGCTGAGTCTCCAGCCTGCATTTTAAATGTTATATATTTATTGTATAGGATATTACAGTCACATGCAGATCAAGTTCATATTCTGCTGCCATTTTGGGAATCTGAATTCCATAGTATACCACTATTGTTTTAAAAAAAAAAATGAATGCTTTATATTTGAGCATTTTCTATTTATATTACATCTACCAAATTTTGTCATTTTATACCATTTTAAATCCATCTGAATAAATGTATGAAAAATAATTATTTATACTTTCAAATTAATTCTCTCCATAAGACTGCAAGGAATAAACAAGAGAAGTAAAGAAAATGTAAATGTAGATAATGACAACTTTTATATGCCTCAGGAAAGCAAGAGAGAAAACATGATTACAATTTGTAGTTACCTGAAGTTGCCACAGCAAACTCAACTTCAAATTTCAAATACAACATAATTAGTGTCCTTATAAAATTTCCAAAATGATTAGTGTCCTTATAAAGCAAGCATTGCTCATGGTTATATATATATCATGTTAGCCTGAAACAATCCCATCCAAGGAAGGGGCAGAATTGTTATTTTAAATCTAACACCAATGGCATTGGGGCATAAATTCAAAACTACAAAAAAAGTATTGGCACATGCAGTGTTATTTAGTAAGATGAGAATTTTCAAAGTGAATTCAAACTGAATTGAAAACTTTAGTTTAAAATAATCAAACTGGAAGCATTGGTGACTTTAAAGTGACAGTATAGGCATCATAACCACTTAATCTAAATGAAGTTATGACGCCTTATGGTGCTAGGA